TCCTGTTTTGATAAATAAATCATTGCTAAACTTCCACTCTGAATTTCCTCGTTTGCGAAACCCCTCAAAATGCTTTTTGTCAAGGATTTTGAGTTCCTGTGATTCGCATGGAGAGCTGAGGGTCTCTCTCTCTCTCCTTCCCTCTCACTAAGGGAATCTTTCTCTTCCCTTTCCTTTCTCTAGTAACAGAAGGATACAGAAAGAGAACATGGGGCATAAATGGTATTGATAAAAGTCTAAATTTTCAGTTGGCTGAAGAAGTCAGAGGGCTCACTTTAAAATTACACTTCATAAATCACATAAATGTGGCAGAAATCATTCCATATGTATTTTGTATGCTATGTATAAACATTTTTCCATCTCTTAAGAGCACCAATTTTATCATGAGCTATGTGAGAAACAGAAATATATTAAGAATCATCTCTGCCCACCCAGAAACATGGAAAATGGGATAAAGTAGCAGAGAAGAGACAAGACTCCCAAGGGGGGGGGTGGAGAAAAACATACTCTGAGCTCTCCTTCAGGTCACTTCTCTCTCTCTACCTCCCAACCGCTACCCCCTCCTCCCCCCCCACACAATGCTTTGGAACAACAGGTGGTTACCAATGTCCCTAGACTGGAATCCTGTGTGACCAAGCTCCTGCTGGATAGAGGCCTTTGCTGAACCTTTTAAGCACACAATAGTGTGAACCTCCTGCAGGCATTTGCCTCATCCCTAGGTAGTCCCCCACACCACCATGCCAAGATCCTTTGGCTCTCCATTCATTTTGTCTTTTCTCTGCTGCCCTCCTCTTTTATGAGAGCCATTTTGTTCCTAAGTCACAAGTATGTCTTTTGGGCCAGCAGAGAGCAGCATATTAGACTATAGATGACAGTCTGCCTAGTCACTCCTTCCAGCCCAACTCTTACCCTTGGTAGAGCCTGTGCTTACACTGTCACGTTGCCCAGGGAGAAGGGAATTTTCTTTTAAGGACATAAGCTCATGGGGAAGAATGATAAAAGGGGTGATACTGATTAAGATGCATTCTATTCATCAACCTGACAAATTGAATGGTAATGACTTGTGCAACTACTTAAAGATAATGAAATACTTTAAAAAAAAAAAGGACCTATCCTCAAGAGTCATTGTTGCTGTCACCTCAAAGCTGTTCAGACAGGAAGAGGTCTAAAGCTGATTGTGGCTTTCTTCTCTGTAGGCTGCAGAGGGAACTGGCAGGCACAGTGGCTCTTCTGTCACTCTTCTGCCTTGACTCCTTGTCATCCTTACCCAGCAGAAGTTCCAAGGGTCTGGAGGTGGTTCTTCTCTTTAAGGAGAGAGTGAAGGTGGACGGATCTGCAAGAGATCCTTGGCTAGATATGGTCCCTGGAAACATGGATTTATCTTGGACTGTGTAGCCAACCCACTGGTGTTTTTGCAGTAAGGAAGTTGTCTCATTGAATGTTCCGTTCTGCAAAGATTAATGGATCCTACATGAATCAAGAGGCTAAGACAAGGAGGACCTGGTACAAAGCTGGCCTAGGCAGAAAAGTCTGTGAGACTTCATCTCCAGTTAACCAGCAAAAAGTTAAGTTGGCCTAGTGGTAGAGCACCAGCTGTGAGCAAGAAAAAAAGCCCATCTTTTTGCTTAGGTGGGAAACTGATAGTTACTCACTTAGAAAATTAAAGCCAATAAAGCACTTCACTGGTATTTTCATTTTCAGTGAAAATCTGTAAGAACTTTTTGGCTTTTAAACTCCTCACCTTATCTGTACTCAATACATTCCTCTTTCTTTAAACCTGAATTGATTGGTATCAAAAAAAAGATGGTAGCACTTCCTAGACACCATGACACTGTAACAAAATGCTCTGTTCCCTAAGACTCCATGCAACATGTTATTAGTATCTGTGGGCTGAGAGAATGATTTTCCCATAACATCCACATTAGATTTCTCATCAGACGCCTTGTGTGAGAAGGCAGTGGTTTGAAACATTCAGAAATGAAGGATAAAAGCATCAGCCAAGAATCCTGATACCCAAGTATCTCAACAATAGGAGGGAGATAACTGAGGCATTTCCATGAGCCTCTGTCCCTTTGTGCTGCTGTGATAAAACATTGTAGGTAATTTGAAAACAACAGAAATACATTACAATTCTGAAGACTTAATCCAAGATACAGAGACATTCTGTGTGTATAAATGGTACTTGTGGCTGTTTCCTTACCACCTTGATTTAACAGAAGAGGTTTTATTTTATTTGCTTTAGGAATCTCCTCCCCCTATTAGTTTTCCTCCTCCTCTTACTTTGAAAGAGAGACTCACTATAGCCCAGGCTGGACTTGAACTCTTGATCTTCCTTCATTTATATATATATATATATATATATATATATACACACACACATTTATACATATATACTTATATATGTATATATATACATATATACACATGTGTATATATATACATAATATATATTATATATATAAACAACTAGCTATGAACCCACATATAACGCCTTCTTGACATGTTCATACACATCTTTTTAACTCCCACAACAATCTTACATGGTAGACATGACTTCTCCATTGAACAATGGGCTCAGACAAGTTAATAAACCTGATTAGCAACTTCTCAGACTGGAGCCTTGATTCTGTTCTTCCTCATTATTGTAACCCAGGGTTCTCTGTTCACACAGAACAGCATCTAGCCTCTTGAGAAAATTTTGTCAGAAAACACAGATATGGCCTTCACGTGTATAATTTGGTAATTATTCTGTAGATTTAGCCCTAGTCCAAGAATACTAGCCAGAAGTAGGGGCAATATTAAGACAAAAACAAAAAACTAGTCAGATCATGGTAAACCCAGAAGCCCTCTCCAATTTTGCCTGTCAAACTAAACATAAAAGAGTGTTCAAGATCACTTCTCACTCCTGCATCAGCCAACTGGAACTTACAGTGTACCTCATCTAAAACATATCCTTTTTGGTGAATGAACAACCTTTTAAGGTCTGGTATAACAAGAGATCTACCTTCCTAGAATGGGGACTGGAAGCCAGGAAGAGTCAGTAAATACTGCTTTTGAATGAATTAATTAATTAATGAGCACTGTTTTTTCTCTAATAATAAATCTAACATCTGGCATCAGGTTCTATACTAAATCCTTCATCTACATTATTTTATCCTATGCTAAACCGTACTCTCAATTTTACTTTTGACATGGAGGCTCAGAAAAATTAGCTTGCTTTTAATGAGCATTCCATTCTGGAATAAAAATTATATATGATTCCAGGCCCAGTTTTCTTACAAGGTTCCCACGATATTGATAATTATAATCATTACTGCTATGCAATTAAGCTTTTGCAGGCATGGTACATAATATTTTAAATATATTACTTAAGTCCACTAAGCAACTGATTTACTATTCATTAGTAGGCTTTATTCCCTCCACCTTCCATCACCTTGTGACCATGTATAAGTTACTTGACCTCCAAAACTCAGTTTTTCATTTATACAAAAGGGAGCATCAAAATATGCCAGGGTATGCAAGTGGTAGAGCCCTAGCCTTGAGCTGAAGAGCACAGGGACAGCACCAGGGCCCAGAGTTCAAGCCCCAGGACCAACAAAAAACAATAACAAAAATATGCCAGAAACCCTGGTTTCTGTGACAATACTAGAAACTGTAGATCATGTAGCCAGTGTCCATGTATCTTGGAAACAAAATAAGCATGCCCTATCCTGAAAGCACCTTTTTTTTTTTTCTGTCGGTTGTGGGGCTTGAACTCTGGGCTTGGGTGCTGTCCCTCAGCTCTTCAGCTCAAGGCAAGCCCTCTACCACTGGAGCCACAGCACCACTTCAGTTTTCTTGGAGATGAGTCTCCCGGACTTTCCTGCCTGGGGTGGCTTTGAACCGAGATCTTCAGACCTCAGCCTCCTGAGTAGCTAGGATGACAGGCGTGAGCCACTGGCGCCCAGCTCTGAAAGCACCTTTGAATTCAGCTAAATTCAACATTATTTATGGAAGTAATTCACTTGCAAGACAGCTTCAAAATACCTCAGATCCCTTTCAGCCCCGGCTAGCTGGAAGGAACTCTTAACAGAATGACTACAAGTTTTCAAAAGAAAGGAAGATGGTCTCCTAAGTGGACACAATTTAGGGGATATCCCCAAAAGGACAATTCCAAACAGCCCAGATCCATGGAGGAGTACGTTGTCCTAAAAACAACCAACATGGATTTAAAAACTGACCTTAAAAAAACGGAGGCATACTACAAGAAAGTGCCCTAATCTCAAATGTACACTAGATGATTTTTAACATAGGGATACACCCTTGCCACTCCACCCAAGTCAAGATAGGGACCCCATTTCCGGCGCCCAGTGTTTCTCCCTAACCCAGAGTGACTTAAAATCAACAAAGTGCACTCAAAATCAGAAGGAGAAGCCAGAAGGTAAATAAAGAGCTTCCGAAGGTGGATAGCAGGAGGGAGGGACTGGGGGAAAGAATTCACTGAAGAGTAAGACAAACCAGACTTCTGTCTTCGATTGAACCTCCCGTGCACTGCGCGCCCGTGGCCACGTTCATTCTAGACTTAATCCACTTAAGCACGTTTGGACACAAATCTATGCCAGGTTTCTCGTGGGAATATACCTCCTACCAACGCAGGAGAAACGAACCAGTTCCAGGATCTGCTCAGCATATCCAGCCACGTGGCAGCCGGCTAGGGGAGGGCCTGGCGTCAGGTTACCAGGCAGCGACTGGCACAGCCGCTGGTATAAAGGCTCTGACCAGCTGTCCTGGACACCGGTGCTGAATCCCGCCTTTCCCGCTGTAAGTTTCCCGGGCTCCGTGCCCCTCCGTTCCCGCGCCGCAGGAAGAACCCCAGGTACTTGCAATCAGTTTAGTTACAGGTGGAGGGGTGGGAAGGGGGAGAGAATGGAGGCTCCTTGGAAGCTCTTTGCGTCTAAAAGGGGGGGGGGAAGAGAGGCAGTTTTTCAAGAGGCATTCGAAATTATTTTTAATTCCCGCCGAGGACTGGGGTGCAATCGTCCCTTGAGGGAACGAATGACTGGGCAGGGCAAAGTATCTCTTGGCAAAGAAGATGAAGCGAACGAAGCTAGACTCCAACGGTTTAAGAATCTATTAAGAATCTCTGCTTTAGGCCAGCGAAGGGAGGGATGGAGATTAAATAAAAGCAATCATATCTGCAATCTCCTTGCCCAGACCACGGAGACAGGACAAATGAAAAACTCTTTAAAAAAAATAGTTTGCTATAGGGGATGTGAGGTGCAGATTTTCTTCTCCCGGGGACAGACAGAACCGAACACGGAGGGAGGAGAAAGGGGGCAGAAATGGATGCCGTCTGCCGGGCTCGTTCTTGACCACCTTGCTTTTGTGCTTGGCAGGCGGCCTGCCACCCGGCCGAGCCACCCTGATCTCGCACCTGCCTCCCGATGTGGTGTCTCGAGCGGCTCCTCCGCGACCGCGACGGGCTTCTCTTGGGTAGGACCCGCCACGCCCAGACCCGATCGCCCAGCGCCTGCGCAAACGTGCTCACTCCGGAACGAATCCCCGAGTTCTGCATCCCGCCGAGACTCGAGTCCAGCCTCACTTTGATTGATCTCCGAAATGCTTGGGAGCAAATGGCCAGGACGGACGAGGGCGCGGGCCGCACCGGCACCGACTGGGACCCGCGCTCGCAGGCCGCGCTCTCGCTGCCGCACCTGCCCCGCGCGCGCACC